CCTCAGATGCTGTCTCACCCTCCAGAGACAAACCAATGATAGTTAGAGGAGTGCTAATGATCTTATTTTTAATGATATCAATCTTATTAATAAAGAATCCCACAAATTCATTACTGTTAAGTGCAGGTGGGATGGACGGTTCAACAGAGCTATGGCTCTGGGTGAGTTTGGCAACTGTATTAAAAAGATATCTAGGATTATTCTTCTCTATTGATAAAGAGAAATATGCTGTACTTCTTTTACAGGATAATTTCAATAAGCTGTAAACTGTTTTCACATCTACATTGAGCCCACATAATCTGGAAAGAGTGTCATTTTCCCTCCTGTTTCCTCGGGTTATGCTTCAAACTATGCAACTCTAAGTTCAACTGGGGAGTCAGTTTTTTATTAACAAATTCCTTTTTCAAAGGGGCTACATTGTGTAAGTCAGTGTAGAGAGAAGAAGTAAACCCACCAACAACAGTGTCACTTTGTGAAGATGAAAACATTTAATGAGCGTTCTCTTCAGTAATGTTCAGTGATATGGAGGAGATAAAACAGGGGAAGATACTCTTCAAAATATATGTATATATTATCTGATAATGATCTGGTAAAGTGAAACCTTCTTCTGAAGGTTAATAAAAGGGTGTGAGGAAATGCTGCTATTTATTTACAATTATTTAGATAAGTCAGTGCAAGTTCCAAAGTATGAAGAAAAGAATTCGCTGGACTATGCACATTTTGAACAAAGCTAATATCTTCTAAGATAGCATTAAAAGCTACATTTAAGCTATCCCCTTTAATGTCAGCATGGATGTTAAAATCTCCCACTATGATGACCCTGTCAGTATTTAACACCAAATCAAATAGGAACTCTGAAAACTCATCTAAAAGTTCAGAAACGTACCTGGTGGACGATAGAAAGTTAAAAAAAGAAGAGGTTTTGTTGCTTTAGAATCTGGATGGGGTCAACTAAGGGTCAGACGTTCTAAAGAATTGTAACTATTCCCTTGCTTTGAACTATTCATGAATGTTTTTTGTAATGGTGTATTGTTCTCTTCTGCTTACAGCTGGAGGATATACATACAGAAATCAGCGCAAGTTCTCTGAAGACATTGACTGGTCATATGCGGGTAAGTCCCAGAAGAACGGTCTGATTACACTTTTGAGGTAAAGCTGATGTTTTTGTTGGTGTGTTTGCTGCTGTGCAAATGATCCAGAGAAGATGCCTGCAGCTCTGCTCATGGTCAGGTCACTCAGGCCTACATATCAAGATCCTGGAAACTATGGCTGATCCATAAGCCGGGCATACACCGCAAGTTTTTGCCCTTTTGGTGCTGATTCTCTAAAAGTGTGACAATTTTTTGATCGGGCTGAGCTTCAGCCTCATGGTGTGTCCTGCATCGTGTAGTATACAGGGGGTAACGAGGCTTAAGTATTTGCAAAACTTAAAGTCATAGGGAAGTCATATTTAAATTTCAAATCATTCTGGCAAAAACATGTATATAAATGTACTCTTTATCAGACCATATTGTCCCAAAATTTAGTAAAAATTTCTATTTAAAAAAAAAATCCTGTCTTAAAATCTGTGCTTTTTCTGTTATCTTATGCAGGCCAGTTAGTTATACGTCAGCCCGAACACCTAAATTCAGCCAATCAAATATCAACAGTCATCTGTCAATCAAATTTTTTCGTCATAGCATCTTGATTCATATGTCACAGCTAATATACGCAACGGTTGAAATAAGAAATCAGAAACATTTCCTTTCCCATTGAGTTCCATCCCAGTGTTCACGGGGATGGACGTCTGTGTCTTCAACAGGCGTAGAGCTAACAGAACTGGCAGCGTTGTGAGGCAAGGGCTCAAACATGTACGGCTGTAAGCCATCTACACCAAACCAAGCTCCAGAACATCTTTGTCCCCGCTTTCCTCCTCTAAATAAAAAATGAATGACTGAGGAGACTCATCCAAGACCTCCGACACTAAACTCTTCTCCTCTTCCATGTTTCCGCTGTCCATAGCGTTCCTTGACAG